TCCTGTGTGATAAACACAAGATGTTTGTCACTTGGAGTGTGAGAGAAAGGGACTATAAAGGAGAAAGGAAATGGATGCAGTTTTAGTATAGGGTAAGGAAGGAAGGTACTGAATGGTGAGGGTTAGTCTCTGACAGAGTAGAGACTAATCATATGAGGGAGCAGCCATACTCTGTGTTTGAACAACAACCAGACCATGCTAAATTCAGCCTTTAGATATGTCCTTTTTGGTTAGGATTTTGGTTGGTTGGTTTTTTGTGCACTAAACTACCCACAGAGGAATGCATTTCTCAGGTTTAAAAGTCAAATGCTATGAATTTAGGAAACTCCAGAATTCAAGAAATTAATGCCAGATCTGTGCGATTATAGTCTTTAACGACATAATCACTTGCTGATTTTGCCATAAGACTATTTCTTCTGCTTTACCAGGACATAGGTTGGAAGGTTTGGATATCCAAATCCATACCCACAAAGTAGTATTCAGTTGTATTGAAAATAAGTATATCTCTTCCAGACAGGATACTTATAAAACATATAACTGCACATTTTGTGTTCTGCAGCTATCAAGAATGAGATAATTTCCAGTCATCTTCCTTACACAGTGGTAATTTATCACTAGAACACGTCCATCCTGAGCAACGTCTATGAAAGAAATACTGTTTAATCCTGCAGTTACACGGTAGCATAATGCATATACAAATGAGCTGTATTCAGGCTGACTTTTGAGGGTATGACTTTTCAATCATACTAATGCTTTCTTAAATTTTGTATGACATTCCCAAAGACTGAAAATGGAAGCCTGTATCCGATCTTGCAAGAATAGCAAGTGGGAGAATTGCTGAAAGTTGTGGGTATCACATTGACATCTGCTGGAGAAAGCACCTTTAGTGCCTTTCAGGCTTTTAAAATGACCTCTGCTGAAGTTGCAGCCAGAGAGAATAGAAGGAGCTAACTGATCTGTCCCATTCTCCTTACCTACATAGTGCAGCCTCCAATCCTCAGGATTCTTCATCTCATCCTGTTTCCCTTGCCCAGAGAGGTCTAGCCTCTCCTCTGCAGTAACCCTACCCCACATGTAGTGCCATTTCCAGTCATGTGAGGTTCCTTGCTGTTCTTTCCCTGTTTCTTTCTATACTCTGCACCAGTTTCATCACCTTTCAGTGATCTCATAGAGTCAGATCTAAAAGCCAAAAAGCCTTTTCTGCAGTCCTGGTGAAACGCAAGATACAAAGGGCCATTGTTATGTTTTGGCTCTGTGGAAGCACATAAAGAAGTAAGTGGCGTTCATAGGAGGTGTAGACGTTTGTGGCTTGCCCCTTCACTGACAGTCTGGGCACAAGGGTTGGAACGTTAGGGCAGTTATTTTCAGACTAAAGGAGAATGGTGGGCTGGTAGCTGAAATTTTGTTGTTTTACCTATTCCCATACAAATAGCAGCAGCAGGGGTGACTTGTCAAAGTTGGGCAAAAGGACTGCTCTTGGTGTTCTTGGGAAAAATATGTCTTTGAACTCAAAGCTGGGAGTCAAGTAATCTCATTGCTGAATGTTTAGGACTGGTGATAATTCACTAGATTAATTTATCAGACTGCAGGTGCAGATTTACAGTTGTTGCTGTCAGGACTGTCCTCTCAGAAGTTACTGAACTTTCATACTCTGGGTCCTTGGTTATACGTTTTGCTGAGGCTCCATTGAGGTTGTAGCGTGTATAGGTGAAGATCATATTTTGCTTGTATTTTCAGTATACTGAGAGTGTTCATACCATAGACATGGAAGAAGAGGTTATATGTGAAGTGGGTGATGTTACACAACATATACTGCTACAGAATTGTGCAAGAGAAATGCAAATAGGAACCTATCCTGACCTAATCTATTAGCTTGCCTACAGTACACCAGAGCCAACCCTTTAAATAACCCTGGTTTACCAGCAGAGACAGGGAGATGGGATTCCTATATCTGCAACATGAGCCCCCAACTGTTAGATCACCTCCCTGATCTTTACAAGCCTAAAGCAGTCCTGCCAGGTTGTTAATGTGTGGTTAGCATGTAATAGATGAAGAAAGTGTTGGATGGCTTGGTCAATGATTTTGGTGTAGAAATTCTGAATTTTGGAGAAAAGCAAACCTTCATTTGCTAGCAAGTCATTTGACATGGTAAGAAATCCAAACAGCTGGGGTAATGAATCTGAAGTTAACAAGAGAGCATGGCCTAGCAGAAATCTGGGCACAATGCCTTTCCTTGAAGGAGGGGCTGGAGAAAGCATGGGAGTTGCCAACGACAATAATAGAAGGGGCTAGCATAAATCAGAGGGAGTGAGATCCATGGTTGGAAGAAAGGAACTAATTAAAAAACAGGCTTAGTTGAAAGAGGGAGCAGCATCTAGGACGAGCCAAACAGTACAGCAGCTCTGAATCCATTTGGTGGAGCCAGTGTTTTTAGGGTCAGTGCACATACCTCAGAGCTATGCAAGAAACAAAGACAGCCTGTTTTCATGGGAGCGTGGGTTTCAGCCCAGTGCAAGGATGCGTAGTAAAGAACTTAACGTTTGCTGGTGTGCAGTGGGAACAGGGGCTAGTCATTGTAGTCAAAGCAGAGGATTAGGAAGCCAAATCCTTGGCACAAGCCATTTCCCTTTTCTGTACCTTGTCTTCTCCTCTTCCCTTTTTTTTGAGCAGAGATCGTAATGGCTACCTCAATGCAGGAAGGAGTCCTGAAACTCTTCCTGTGTTCAAATGGCAGCACCTGAAGAAGGACAAGGTGCTGCAGATGATTACTCTTCTGCCTTGCCCTATCTGGTTTTCTGCCGCAGTAGAGAGGCTGCTGGGATCCCCTTCCCCAGCCCTCTGCTCCTCCGCTCCTACCCCAGCTCAGTGAACGATTGTGCTACAAGGTGCAAAGGACAGGACCTGACTCATGCTGTAAGTGTCACTAAAAAAACCAAAACAAACCAAAAAATAACCCAAAAAACCCCAAACAAAGAAACACCCACAACCCAGAGCAGATTTAGTCATATCTCGTCTCTTCTGGACATGCTTGCTTTACCATGCTACTTGTGCTGCATGGGCACCTCCTAGTATACACCCTCCATATCTGCTTCTGGGTGAGTTTTTTTGGTGTTTACCTTGATGAAAAGTATCTTTCAATTCTAAGGTTGTACCTGCTCCCTGCAGAGCTCCTGACAAACCTCAGGGTCCAGATTACTACCTGCAGCAAGCACAGC